GGCTAGGTTCAAACCTGCCAGCAACAGTGTATGTGGCTGATGCCCTAGCCACAAAGCTACAGGTGCTGAGCCTGGTTTTATGTTTTTTAAAAAAGTCTTTTCCTGGAAGAAGTATATACCAAAGTGTTTATGGATGAGATGACACTACATCATATGATGTGTTTTAACATAATCCAGAGGGGAGGTGGAGGAAGTGGGAGGGGACACTTAGTAAATAGAGGTTGGACAAGAGCACATTAAATAATTTGCAGGGGAATGAAGAATAGGTAAATATGTTTTTTGCCTATGTAGTTGCAGATTTTCTGTATGTAAGAGAATGCATTGGTCCATCTTTTTTTTTGAGACAGAGCCTTAAGCTTTCACACCCTGTGCCTGTAGTCCCTGCTACTTGGGAGGCTGAGGCAAGAGAATCACCTAAGCCCAAGAGCTGGAAGTTGCTATGAGCTGTGACACCACAGCACTCTACCATCACTATGTTGTTGAGGCTGGTCTTAAACTCCTGGTATCAAGTGATCCTCCATCCTCCCACAGTGCTGGGATTACAGGCATGAGCCACTGTGCCCAGCCTGGTCCAGTCTTAGTGTTCAGCCTTATAAAGTCTTCTGCTTGTCTAGCTGAGAGAAGGTAACCAAACAGTGTCCTTATAACTTTATTCCACTTTTTATCCCTAATGGGCTTCCACAGTTAACATCTTAATTTTACCATTTTATTCTCTGATTGTATCACACAAGTTTACCCTGTTATTCATAAAGGTATGCCCTCTCGTCTTTCTATCACATTGCTACTCAAACATCCACTAACTGAATATAGTAGGAATCCAAGTGGCAAAGATACACAAATATGTGAGTCACACCAGGAATAATTCCTAAAATGAACTAGATATTGACAAGACAACCTGATCTGAGGTTCTGACCAGATAGAAAAGGGGACCCAAAAGTAAAACAGAAATGGAGATGATGAAAATGCTTAAAAAGAACAGAAGGGAGGGGAAAAATGTGTGTGTAGAGATGAGAAGGCTGGGGAGGTTGGAGTATGAGGAATTTTAAAGTCATAAGTTAAAATGTATGTCTTATTATTTTTCAGGAAGGCATATGGTATCTTCTTTACAAATTGTTTCAAACAAGCTCATTTTAGTTTCCTGACAAGCAGCAGTGTGGCAGAATGGAAAGGATGTCAAGAAAGATGGGAGCCGGGACTAGCTGCGACCCTGGCAAAGTATTTCTCAATTTCCTTATTTGTAAATTGGGATTAAAAATGTTTGCTTCTTACTGTGATTGGGAGGATTAAAGGATGAAAGCGTTTCCTAAACAGTAAAGTGATGTACAAATGTTGCCATTAATGTGTTGTGTCTCAAAAGCAGACATATTTTTTGTAACTGTTTTTTTTTTTTTTTTTTTTTTTTGAGACAGAGCCTCAAGCTATCGCCCTGGGTAGTGAGTGCTGTCGCATCACAGCTCACAACAACCTCCAATCCCTGGGCTCAAGCAAGTCTCCTGCCTCAGCCTCCCAAGTAGCTGGGATCACAGGCGTCTGCCACAACGCCTGGCTACCTTCATCTCTTACCCAGGTGGCAAAGGTAGGTTTTACTTTTCATAATAGGTTTGAAACGTACCATTGCATCATACACATTAGGTGAGGTCCC